TATATATACAGTATGTGTGTCTTTTGAGATGTCATAGTAATTGCCAATGTGCCATTTTTCTTATAATTTCCAGTTAATTTTCTGTTGTCTTTCTCTAGCGGATGGTGAAACACTGGAGATGCTGTGGCAGCTGCGAATGCARCGTCGCCAGCCGTCTCCTGTGCTCCCAGAAACGGTGTCGTGTCTTACTGCCCCGGATGGCAGTATCCTGTACCTGGTGGGCACAGCTCATTTCAGTGACAGCAGCAAAAAGGACGTGGCCACGGTGAGCCAATCAGACAAACACAATAGCGGGTTCTCTGTCGGGCATTAAGTTACTCACACCTTTGTAAAATGTGACACGCTGTGAATTGTCAGTGAAGTAATGTGTGTAATTAATGTAGCTCAAGTGATTATGACTTCCCCTGCTAAGATAATGCATCTATTCCTGTCTTCTTTGCTCCTCGTGGATTTCTTTTTGCTTTTTCCCCCCCTGTAATGCACAGTTGCAGTGTTTCTTTTTTCCACTCCAATGTTGTTAAACTGTCTGCTTCTTTACATCTCATTCTAACTGCCCTTTCTCTCCCTCACACAGATGATTCGCGCTGTGCAGCCAGACGTGGTATTAGTGGAGCTGTGCCAGTACAGGGTGTCGATGTTGAGGATGGATGAGAATACGCTGCTGAGGGAGGCCAAAGACATCAACCTGGAAAAGGTTCAACAAGCCATTAAACAGGTCCGACTCTTGGATTGATAGGAAAGAACTGTAGTGGTAAAAAAAAAAAACAACAACAATAAAAGCTGCTAAGAGAGCTCCCGATAAGAGTTTTTTTCCCCCCCACAGGTTTCGACCGAGATTTAACTTTTTTAATGTAACTTCTGGTGCTTTTTAAAGTTGCATAAAGAATGACTATCAAAGATCTAACTCTTTTTTTTTCTGTTCGTCAGAATGGGTTGATGTCTGGTTTGATGCAGATTCTTCTGCTCAAAGTTTCAGCTCACATCACAGAGCAGCTGGGGATGGCACCTGGAGGAGAGTTTAGGGAGGCCTATAAAGAGGTGAGCCAATCATAAACACGTTTTACACAGCATTCTTGTCGTATTTGTGCAAAAAAAAAWTWAMYWAAAMMWYTTTTGTTAAGAAGCTAAATGTTCATGTTAGAGCCATATCATCCTGAAATCCTTAAATGTGTATTTCTGTCCACACAGGCTGGACGAGTGCCATTTTGTAAATTCCACCTTGGGGACAGGCCGATCCCTGTGACGTTYAAGAGAGCCATAGCTGCTCTCAGTCTGTGGCAGAAAGCCCGCCTTGCCTGGGGTCTTTGCTTTTTGTCAGATCCAATCAGGTATCACTTTTGCTCTATGTCATTAAACACTCTTTGCTTCACTGCAGTTACCACTGCTGCTGGCTGAATATACTCTTGACAGCATATTTTGACGACTAATTTTGCAAATAACTATTTTCTTGCATTCATCTTTATAAGTGTTACGGAAATATTTATTTAACAAAGACGGAAATACGTGGTCCAAGAAGGAAGGTACACCGTGGAGTGATCAGCTGAGTTTTATTGCAACAACAGGAAACACAGAGAACAACATAGAGCCATCAGACTGTCCCCCTGCTCTCTGCTCCTCTTTCTCGCTGAGGCAGTTGAGGCCTCATATATACTGTTTAACAAACACTACTATGTCATCTTAATAAAGCAAGATTTCATCCTAAGGAAATGCTGGGTCAAGGGAAAACACAAAGATAAACACAAGTGATATCTAAGAATGATTATTGTTTTTAGCAAATCTTGTTCTGACTTTAATCATTCTATCTGCTCATAAAAGTCATGAAAACCTAGGTCATTAAAGTATGTCATGAATTACTGGCTTAAACCTAAAAGTATTATTTCCGTCACAATAAGTCTCTCCATCACGGCTGACTGTGATAAACTGTCATGTTTCAGTAAGGAGGATGTGGAGAAGTGCAAGCAGAAAGATTTACTGGAGCAGACGATGTCGGAGATGATCGGCGAGTTTCCCGCGCTTCATCAAACCATCGTGGCTGAAAGGGACATCTACCTCACGCACACACTGCGCCAGGCTACCCGTTGTGTGGAAGCCCCCTCTAATGGCCAGAGTGAGTATTGCATGACTCCCAAGAAATTACATATTAAGATTAAAAGTTCAGCTTTATRGTTTTTGAATGTTTACCGCCCATTAGAATTTACCCATTTTAGTTTGTAGTTTACTACAAATATTTTTAGAATTGTAAACATTTTCATTTAAATTGTTTTATTTAGGAATTAGGAGGAAATTCTGTTTAGAATGCAACAAACTGATGCATTATGTTTAATGTGACTTTTTTTTTTTTACCACTTATATCTAAGTATTGCTCTATTTTGTGATGCTTTTCTGTCCTGTTTTTTATTTATATAAAAATAACTTTGCATCGTGCAAAATTTTAGTTTTTCCACAATCTTGCAAATTTGCATTACTTTAATTTAAGCGTTTCATCATTTGATCAAGATAATTTAAAAACTTTTGTTTTTCTTTACATGCATATGGAGAATTTCAGATTTTAAGCCTGAATGTTTACAAACTATGTGTTGTTCTTGCTGTAGAAGTGCCTGCTGTGGTGGTGGGGGTTGTTGGAATGGGCCATGTTCCTGGCATTGAACAAAACTGGGATAAGGAGCTCAACATTAATGAAATCATGAGGTATGCTTACTGCAGTTCTTTGATTCTATAAATAGTTGACAGGGAAAAACTGTAATATCCCGTCTTTTTTCCCCTCAGTGTGGCACCCCCCTCACGCTTCAGCTGGTTGGTGCGCATGGCCTTAAAGGGTGTGTTTGTGGGAATGCTGGGATATGCCTGCTACCGTGCCGGAGGAGGTTTAGGCAGAGCTCTGCTGTCTCTACCTGCAGTTCAGTCGTTACTGGAAACACTGAGGCTTCGTTCTTCTTGACCCTGCTGCTTGTCTCTCAGCCAAGACGTGACCTTTAACCTATCAAAACAATGCATTGATTCACCAGTGGCCTTAACAGCAGGTGAGACAGGAGGAACGGGTTCAGCAGCCCACATTGAACTGAAAAGGACCTCATCGGGGTAAAAAGCCTCTCACCTGATATCGACGGGGTTATGCTGCCAAAGAATAAATGTTCAGGATTAGTAAAGGAACTCTTAGTGATTGGTCTGTTCTGCTAACTCCTAAAGCAAAGTGCCTGAAGTTTCATCTGTAAGGGCTAATATTTAACACTTTCTTCTCATCTTACATGTGCATACGATTGGGGTTAGGTTAAAATTATGATGTTACAAGTGCTTTTTTTTTTTTTTTATAAAACACATTGCTCTGTTTTTTTCTTTATTTGATGACTAAATGTCACCAATCCACTGATATTTTATGGTTACATCTACATTTTAGATTCATGGCAAGAACAGCAGTGAAAAATGTAACTTGTGTTATGAATCATTGTCACTGGATTTAACTGGCTCCATTTATGAGTTAAAAGATCTTTTATAAAGAAAAACAAAGAACTTCTGTAAAAAACAAAGAAAAAAATTTGATGTTATTAATTTCTAAGGTGTTTGTGAAATCCAAGAACCAAATGAGACAAAAACTTGTTTTAAATGAGGTAATGAACGTTACCAAAATGCTTTATTTATATAACGCCTGGCTACAAAATTTAGGTGTAATTTGGACATTTAGCCTTTGATATCACTGCTGCCTTTAACCTCATGAATGCCTCGTCTGCTAAAGCTTACTACCCCCCTCCCACACACACACACATACACTCTCTCACCTCTCTCTCTCTCTCTCTCTCTCTCTCTCTCTCTCTCTCTCTCTCTCTCACCTCTCTCTCTCCTCTATCTAAAGTAAAGCTTGTTACTGCATGTGTTAAAGAGAAGGATGTCTAAAACTACAGCAAGCCATATAGAAAGTTTCAAAGTGTCTGAAAAAGATAACTGCATGTGTTCAAGCCTATATTATAAATTTCCAGGTAATCTTTATTTTTAATTTCTAAATAATTTATGCACGGTACATTTTGTTATCTACTGCAGATACCGTATGTGGGTGATATCACATTAGATACTTTTTTTTTTTTTTTACTATTTGTGACTTGAATCCAATTTTTGGTACAATATATATTTAATTTCTTTTTTGAAAATGTTTGAAGCATGTGCCAGCTATCTCTATTCTGAGCGAAGTCAGGTAATTTGTCTTCCAGAGGATAAATGACGTCTCTTGAAAGGAGTTTAAGATAAAGTTCAGATGCAAGGTCTGTGCCTTTGTTGCTCTCTGTCTCRGACTAATGTTCCTGTTTTCTTCCTTCATAAAGGTCCAGTCTACTGTATTTGTAGGAAATGTGTGAATGACTTTGTTGTAAAATTTAGTTTGCCACATTTACAAATCTTATTATTGTAAATATATTCAGCTCTTGAGTTTCTAATTGTTATAAAAACATTTTAAGTAAAGTTAAACTATATTTGGCAGTTTCACAGTTCTGTTATTTATTAGTTTAAGAGTGAATATTGTATAATTTTGGTTTGCTGCAGTCTGCAGTACAACAAATGATTCAAGCTGCAGCCTGAAGGGATTTGTGGAACCTCACGAAGTGCTGACGGTGTTGTTTGTCAGCAGACCTGCAGGAATATGAAGTCGTAACTATTTCGTTTTGGATTTGATCTCGTAGAAACTGATGAAGAAAGTGAAGGCCTGTTGTTTTGTTTTGGTGTATGGACTCACCAGGAAGTTCTGGACTTTTTTTGGGTGTTCTACGGTGGCCCTGTTTATGCCTGGGAGCTTACACAGGGTGAGGTGCGTTAGTCCTGAAATTATGAATCACTCTTTGTCTGACACTTCCCCTAAGTCTGGTGTGCCTCAGGAGAGACCCAAGTAGGGGATGAGCTCCCAGATAATGCAGCCCTAAAATCACTGGAGTCCTCAGCACAATAAAGTGAGGTAAATGATAGGGGAGGATTTAAAATTTCCAAGTAAATTAATTTTTTTTGACTAAAAGAAAATAACAGAATCACTATTTTTGTTTGTTTGTTTGTTAGTTAGCTGGTACTGAACTGAAGGCTATTTCAATTTATTTTTGTTTTGTAAGTTGGTTCTGGACTGAGGGGATAGGAACCTCTTTTTTTTTTATCATGAACTGTTTATTTATTAAATTAATTAGTTAGTTAGTCGGTCACAAAGTGAGTTTAACTTAGTGTTTCTAGCCGGACCGATAAAGGTGTAACACTGCTGTGCCATCCAAACATCCGGTGCAGYGTACTACGCAGTTTCGTTCGCACTGGTGAACGCTAGCAGACAGATGGCCTGGTTTAGATGGCTTATTTAGGACCTCGGGTCTGGACGTCACGCCTCTTTATCCCCGGTGTGTCCGTGTTCAGACTCCTCGGTTCTGGCAGTATGGACGATATGGGTCTGACAGCGAGTCGTTCTCCACTGGAGCGGCTCGACTTTGACAACGTCGTCCTGAGGAAACTTCCGCTGGACCCATCCGAGGAGCCGGGAGTACGCCAGGTGAAAGGTGCGTGCTTCTCTCGGGTCAAGCCTCAGCCGCTGAGCAACCCTCGGTTCGTCGCTGTGTCGCCCGAGGCTCTGACCCTGCTGGGGCTCCACGCAGACGAGGTTTTGAAGGACCCTCTGGGGCCGGAGTATCTCAGCGGATCCAGAGTCATGCCTGGATCCGAACCCGCGGCTCACTGCTACTGCGGACACCAGTTCGGTAACTTTGCCGGGCAGTTGGGCGACGGGGCAGCCTGCTACCTGGGAGAGGTGAAGGCTCCACCGAGTCAAGACCCCGAGCTGCTCCGGGAAAACCCGTGCGGCCGATGGGAGATTCAGGTGAAAGGAGCTGGACTGACCCCCTTCTCTAGGTAAAATCATTAGACCAGATCCAATTCGTAATCAAGTTATGCTTATTAATAATACCTGGCCAGGTTAAATATTATTAAGCTACTTGAAGGTACTCATTACAATCATTAAAATAAAATAAAAATGTTAAATTTAAACACGGTGATGCAGTTTTAAAGAGTTTACTCTGGTAGTTTCCTAGATAAGTTGACATTTTTGAAATACTGGTACACACTCATTGTAAACAAAGCACTCAGCTGAATCTGCTGAAAACCATGTTAAAGTTTGAGTCAAATTGAGCTAAATTGTACCAGTAAACAAACCCATATGAGAAAAAAATGTGTGTATTTTGTTTTTAACTTAAAGGGGATGTAATTTGTATTTTCCAGGCACATAGGTCAATTCTGTACCACAGTCACCTCACCTTAAACACCTCAAAATTAGCTTCTGTCTCTTTAAGAATCTCTTACCATTTCAGACACTCCCACTTCAGCACGTTTTTCAAAAAATGCTTCTCAAAAAAGTGTGAATTTTGCAAAATACCCCCTTACTTTTTGTGATTTCAAACTTACGCACATTTGAGTCACTGACAAACGGTCTGAGCTGTGAGATCCATTCGTGGACTGAGCAAACAGTTCCTACCTTACRTACGAATTGTTTTGTCTTTCTCTTCCACAGACAAGCCGATGGTCGCAAGGTYCTGCGGTCCAGCATAAGAGAGTTCCTCTGCAGCGAGGCCATGTTCTTCCTGGGTGTGCCCACCACCAGAGCGGGCTCTGTGGTTACCTCGGACAGCAGAGTTATACGGGACGTGTATTACAGCGGACRTCCTCAGCACGAGAGATGCTCAGTCGTTCTTCGGATTGCTCCCACCTTCCTCAGGTGAGCACAGACCCCGTCCTGCTTTCGTCCGTCACAAACATCAGAGCTTCTGAAGATGTTCGGTACACGATCGCCTTGTATTGTCTGCACAGGTTTGGATCCTTCGAGATCTTCAAGGCAGCCGACGAGTTCACAGGACGGCAAGGCCCCAGCTATGGACGAGAYGAGATCCGAGGTCAGATGTTGGATTACGTCATAGAGGTGTTCTACCCTGAAATCCAACAGAACTACCCAGACCGGGTGGAGAGAAATGTAGCTTTCTTCAGAGAGGTCAGAACCTGCTGTTACTTATTGTGAACATTCAAATTTAAGACAATAAGATTAGGTTTTAATAGAACTTTAAAATTAATGTAAGTTTTAAAACTGTTCTGTGCTGAATAAATTATCAGTGTCACTTTGCTTCCTGTGAGACTAAAGGTTCAGTTATCTGACATTTTCCTTTTTCATTTAGTGAAAGATCACAGCATCGAAGCTGTTTGGAAATGTTTCTTTGTTTTAGATGTTTTTGGAGATGACATACCTGCAGTCCTCTCTGTCTGTTTGCAGGTGATGTATCGAACAGCTCGACTCGTGGCTCAGTGGCAGTGTGTGGGATTCTGTCACGGAGTTCTGAACACGGACAACATGAGCGTCCAGGGTCTCACCCTGGACTATGGTCCATATGGCTTCATGGACAGGTCAGATATGAGTTTTAAAGTGCCCGTGACATGAAATTTTTGTAATGAATGYGATTGCGGTTTTGAAAAGAGAACGTTGATAACATACTGCAAACAAATTTCACGCAGTTGAGATGAACACTTGTTGAGATATTCGCACGTGAAGAAACAGGAAGTGATGTCAAAGGGGAATGTCTGCAGGTAAACAGAGTGATGCTACAATAATTAGAGAAGAATCTGATGCTTCTTTAGATTATTTTTGAATCAAATGAAGAAGAGTTTAAATAAGATTGTTTAAAAAAATAGTTTCTTTTCTTAAAGAGTTCCCCTTTGATGTCACTTCCTGTTTCACTTTGCTGAGCCTAATTCAAGAGAAATTATGCCAGTTATGAGACAGAATGGGTAAAATCATGTGTGTTGTGCTAATTTCTTAAATATAAATGTTTTCTTTGACTTTTTATATTTAAAGGATAAGCACATCACAGGCCCTTTAATGTCTGGTTGTTAAAAGAACAGAGTTCTGACTCTTAACCACACGTGTTGATATGAACTTTCTTCATCCTTCAGGTTTGACCCGGACTTCATTTGCAATGCGTCCGACAGCTCCGGACGATACTCCTACCAGGCCCAGCCGGCCATCTGCAGGTGGAACCTGGTGAAGCTAGCCGAGGCTCTCGCTCCAGAACTTCCACCAGATCGGGCCGAGGCCGTGATGGAGGAGTACCTGGACCTGTTCAACCGCTTCTACYTGGAGAACATGAGGAAGAAGCTGGGGTTACTGACGAAGGAGGAGCCTGAGGATGAGATCCTGATCACTGAGCTGCTGCAGACGATGCACAACACAGGTGGACTCTTCATTCTGCCAYGTTGCTCAGGAGTCGATGATCACATATGGATTGATGTGTTTTCGGTTGATCTCCTGCAGGTGCTGACTTTACCAACACTTTCCGAAGCTTAAGTCAGATTTCCTGTCCGACCGAGGGAGAAGCTGAAGGACACGAGGGGCTTAAGAAAACCACAGACCTTCTTTTGGAGCAGTGTGCCTCTTTAGAGGAGCTTAAAGCTGCCAACAAACCCACCATGGATCTGCGGTGAGATCAAACACACGTTTGWTTCAAACTGTTACCACCTCCAAGCTTCGTAAAGGTTTTTAACTTTTGACGGAACTATTCGGCAAACAGAACTTCTATCAAATATTAATGTCCGTAAAATAAATGAATACAACAAATATTCAAAATATGACATCTTGAAAAAGAATAGCTTCATCAAAATAATTTGTATTTTTGCCTTTTGTCTCACACTTTTTGGTGATATTTGTTCTGATGATCAAACGTTGAATATACTGAGGAGGTGCTGATGGGCGGATTTATTGCACCAACCTTTGGGCAAAACTTTAATTAATACACTGCTTAATTCAGGGAATTAAACAAGATTCACAAAGTTGTTGGTCATCTGTTCTGGTCTAATAGCTCAAAAGTGAAACTGTATTTGATGTAATTCCTACTTCTGCCTCTGGGTGGCTCTAGTGGCTCAGTAGAACAGAAGATCCATGATGGTCTGACGAGCTTAAAGCCTCATTAGTTGCAGTTTATTTGGTAAGAAAGCTGATATAAAGTAAAATTTTTATTCCTAAGTAAACATCACCAGTTACTGAGTAACAGAAGTAACATTGTGTATTCAGTTGCTTTCTTTTGAAAATGTGAAAAGTTGAGGTTAAATACTCCTGTTTGCAAAATATATTTTGTTATTTTACACTGTTGGATGACATCGATTTAAATAATACATTAATATGACATTCCTCTTACTTCAGCTGATACAACAAGGAATTAACGGGGACAAAATCCACGTTTTTAGTGGTTAAAYACATTTTGTACTTGGGGTCTATTGGAGTGCAGAAATGTTTAACAATCCAACTGAATGATTTAAAGGGATCCGTGATTAGTTGTAACACTAGACTTTATTTGATAAACATATATTTTAACTGTAAAATATAGACTGTAAAAATACTGTAGGCTGTTTAGTTTTGTACATTTTTTAAAAATATATTTTAACACGGACGGATCCATTTTATTTACACACAAAGCATTCTGGGTAAATGATGACGTCGACAGGTCCTCGGTTTGAGCGAGCTATATCCACCC